TTCTATAAATCTAACCTTGCACACATAATCTTGTACTGACGTGTTTTTTGTCCAAGAAAGACGTTCCCTTTCATTTAACCCCCAGTTAACAATTCGCGTCCATGGTATTTGTGAGAGTTGAAAGATTCTTTAAACAAATGAACTATATTGATTTGCGTCAAGCTGGGTGGCCCGAATTTAAATATCAGTGCATGAACTCTGGATGTCATTGCCCAATGCCGCACGTAATTCAAACGCGTGGTTATTAGCGTTCAGTCGAAATGTACGTGAATAATGCGATTGAAGTCCGCTACCCAGAGTTTATTGTATTAAAGTAAAATTTAATTTGACGTATGGTATGTTTATGTTTGCGTAATTATTACGAATGCAACGCATTATCAAGTCGGTGATATTGAAATATTCAGAGCTGGTACAATATTGTAAACAAATTTGCGTAATTAGAAAAGCAGTGCACTAAGTAAACGACGTTGATATGTTCAAAGCCAGTACAGAGTTGCATACAAGTTGCGTAATTACAGTACCTTCAGGTATAATAACAATTTTACTAGTTTGACGCGCGGGGCACGAAAGAAAAAGGTTGCTAAGGTAACGCGCCAGTTCAGTGCGTGACTTGGGGGGTCAAACATCGGTCAACACACACTTGATGTCAGCATTGCCGCGCAACAAGTTTCGACTTTCGCCTGCTTTTCCTTCTTGTTCACATAAAATGCGACCTCTCACCAATGTATTAAACACTTTGAATTTATACTTTGCATAATTATATTTGGTCAACGCTAAACATTATTTTTTCTAAACATTTTCTGAGACTATTTTTATCAACGCAGAGTTATTTTTCCAGACAAGATGGGCTTTGTAATATCTGCCATAACATCGCCCGGGCGATGCCTAGAAAAATAAACAAGCAGCCTATCGGCTGAGATAGCTCCGCTGGTAGCAATGCACATTTCAATTAAAGAACTGAAGACATCATTAGAAAATGAATATGAATAGTATCAAAGCAATCGAACTTACAGTTTTTAACAAGAAGTCGAAAATATCACTTTTTACCAAAAATTACAAAAATATTCACCAAAATTAGAGAATTGAAGATATCATCACGAAATGAACAAATCTGAGAGAGGTCCACATGTAGTACCTATATATGTAGTATCAAAGCAATTGGACTTGCGGTTTTTAACAAGAAGTCGAAAATATCACTTTTTACCAAAAATGACAAAAATATTCACCAAAATTAGAGAATTAAAGATATCATTACAAAATGAACAAATCTGAGAGAGGTCCACATGTAGTACCTATATATGTAATATCAAAGCAATTGCACTAGCGGTTTTTAACAAGAAGTCGAAAATATCACTTTTTACCAAAAATGACAAAAATATTCACCAAAATTAGAGAATTGAAGATATCAACATGAAATGAACAAACCTAAGAGAGGTCTACCCAAGGTACATATACACCAAGTATCAAAGCATTCAGGCTTGTAGTTTTCAAGAAGAAGTCGAAAAAGTAAAACATTGACACGGACGACGACGGACAATCACTCATATGATAAGCTCCGCTCGACAAAGTCGACAGCGGAGCTTAAAAAGGCAGTGCAGCCAGACAGCTACTTTGTAGCCACGTGTTCATTGTTTGTTTGTGTACAGAGTGACCTTTGCCAATTTTCACTGTTTCATTTCAAGTGTAACATGGTGCGTGGTCCTTGACGCAGTGCGTGTTCTCTGTCCGACTATACGCCATGAATGTCGCTCGCCATGAGTCTCAGAGGCACTAAAAAAACGTCCTGTAATCGTGTTCATTGGAAAACAAAACAAATCACAAATAAATTTATAAAAACAGTTCCTTTTTGAAACTATCTAAAAGTACTCGTTTAATTCACGCACCAAAAACCAATAATTTCCGTTTTTACGCTATTAATTCGTGCACTTGAAAAAATAATTGTTTTTACTACCGCGAATTAATCAAGTTTTTACGGTACATTGAATTTTTAATTTCAATACAAGACCTATTTTTTGTACTGGTTATTAGGTGATACTTATTATATGTAGAGTTACAATTCGTTTTTTTTTTCATCAGTATAAATTAACTACTCAGGCTGATTTTATGTGCGGTGACAAATGGTTGACTAATACTTATCCTGCGACTGCCACATTTTCACCCGTTTTTGGGAAAATAAAAACACTTGTTGTTTGCATTATCGTATTTTCACTTAAATCATACTATTTTCAATGATACTCACATATTTTAGTTTTGCTAGTCTATATTTTAAAATCGTAATTCTGAAATTTCCAAACTGTCTGAAAGGCCGTCTGGACAGACAGGACTCGTCCAGATTGTTTTTAGATCGCTGTATTTTCGCCCTATTTCTAAAAAATAAAACATCTATTGTTCCATTTTGGGGTTTTTAGTTGAGTCATGCCATTTTCGAAGTAATTAGGGTATTTTATTTTGATAACTTGCTATACAAAAGTCGAAATTAAGAATTTTCTAAACTGTTTGAAACCGTGAAAGTCAGCTGCTTACACCGGAAATGGCTGACCCGGTTTGTTTTAGATCGCTGTATTTTCGCCTGATTTCTCAAAATAAAAACATCTGTTGTTCAAATTATTGCGTTTATTAAATAATTTGGGTATTTTAATTTGATTACTTGCTTTAAAAAAAGTTGAATTTCTGAATTTTCTAAACTATTTGGAAACGTGTGATACTAAGTGGAAAACTCATTAACATACAATTAGCATATTCATGACCGTCGCTTCAGTAGTCACGCAGGGAAACTTGCGCGTTTTGCGTGATTTCACGAGTGCTGCCGACAGTACAAATAAACAGATGGTTGTTTATTCGTTAATAGGACTGTGAGATTATTTGGAGGATTATAACCCAGGTTAAAACAAAAGAAATGATGTAGTTGCCTGTCCCTCTCTTTCTAAGGGTTATGGTTCATGAGAGTTTCAACAACTAGACCAAAATAGTTTTTTTGTTTTATACCGTTTTTGGTTGCTAGGCAGTGAAAATGCACAGATGTTCAATCCCAAGAATATGGTAATGAGCTTCAAACAGAGCAATTACTATACAAGAATGAAAACGAAAACAAAATTATGAAATATTAAATATCTTGAGATGAATATGCATGCATTTATTTACCTGTTGTCTATTCTTATCTAACGCTGGTAATACATCATCAACGGTTCTTTCAACAAGGATGCCACCAACCATGCGAAAACATCGTCGGGACCCATCCACTTCTTTAAGAGTTTCTACAACCAGCCTAAAATAAAACATAGTTGAACTCTGGTGACCTTGCCCTTTGTTATATAATATAATTCCCTTTATCATAGTTTGTTTCAATATAAATATGCACTGTCATAATTAATTTTGAATACAAACAAGTTTTGGGGTTGAACCAACAGTGGGGAATCAGTCTACCGAATGTCCTTAGAAGATGTAAATATCTTACAAAAACATTGGTGCCTTATTTGTTTAATTATTTTAAGGGACATAATTTCTAGCTTTATTCAAAGTAATTCAGATATTTTAGTATAAAAACAAATGTCTCATTGCAAAAAAAGAGTGCTGCATTTAGATGTAGATTCATAAAACATGCAAGATAACAGAAAATTTTAGCTGGCCATAGTCCAAGTATTTTGTACAGGTGTCTGTCAAAAATTAATGATTCACTGAGACAAATATGAACTGCCTCATTGTGTGACTACTGTGTTATATGAAAAGTAAAAAAAAAAACCCTTTATGAATAGCTATCATGTTGCAAGCTCTG